GTCCTCGCTCTCCACACACAGCCCTCACGGGCAAGACCGTACGTTCCCTGTCCCCATGCCGGTCCAGCCAGACGTTTTCCCCGTTGCGCACACGCGGCGGACGGCCTCGGAGACGAGGCTGACCTGGACCCGTTCGGCCGCCCGCCTGCACAGATCACCCTTGAGGTCGAGTCGTCGGACACGATCGACAACGTCAAGGCCAAGATCCAGGACAAGGAGGGCATCCCCCCCGACCAGCAGCGCCTCATCTTTGCCGGCAAGCAGCTCGAGGACGGCCGCACCCTCTCGGACTACAACATCCAGAAGGAGTCGACCCTCCACCTTGTCCTCCGGTGAGCCTCTTGTTCCTGGGGGAGTCTAGATGTGTCGCGAGGCGCACTCGAGGAGGAATCGGGACATGGCAAGCTGACCCTCGGGCCCACCCCGCCGCGCACAGCCTCCGCGGTGGCATCATCGAGCCGTCGCTCCGCATCCTCGCGTCGACGTACAACTGCGACAAGATGATCTGCCGCAAGTGCTACGCGCGCCTCCCGCCGCGCGCGACCAACTGCCGCAAGCGCTCGTGCGGCCACTCGTCGCAGGTGCGCGCCGCGTCTCCCTCTCTCTCCTCATCTGTCCCTCGCTGACCCCTGCCCTCCCCTTTTCAAAAGCTCCGCCCCAAGAAGAAGCTCAGTACGTCGAATCCGCACGTCGGCTGGTGGTTGGGACGGCTGCTGACCCCGTTTGCCCCCTCGCAGAGTAAGCCATTCGCGGTCCGCGGCAGAGACAGGGACGAGGGCGTGGGGGCTCGCTTCCTGCATTGGCGTTCACGTTCTTCACTGTGTGTGTGTGTGTGCGCGAGAGGTGCGAGAGCTGCTCGCGAGAGGGTCGGCTCGCGCGAGTACGGGGGTGCGCCGAGTCTGGCCAGCAGCCTGCAGGGTCGCGTCGCGCGCCGGCTGCAGCTCTGCCCCGACTTGGGCTGACTCGCCGAGTCGTCACGGCAGAGCCTGTGCACGGCGTGACGACGACGACGACGTGCGTCGGATCACGCTCGACGTGGCGGACGCGCTCGAGGGCCGCCTCGGGAGCCAGTCCACTCGGGCCTCTCTCCCCGTCCGTCTTTGCTCGCTCGACATGCCTGCTCGAGAGGCTCGCTTCGGCACGAGCAAGCTACGCTGCAACTGACAAGCTACGCAGAGAGACTGAGGGAGCCCGAGGTCCCCGTCACGCCGAAGAAGGCGCGCGCGACCGCCGCACGCTCCGCCTCCTTCTCCGCCGCCCTCTTCTTGCCCGCCGCCTCCGACTCGCCGACCCTCTGCACCGGCACGACCTTGGTCGTGCAGCGCAGCAAGTCGTCGACGGTCCACGTCATCTCGTCGGCGTCGGCGTTGCGGCCGCGACCGCGCGACCGCGGCGCGTGACCGGCTCGCTGTCGTCGTCGTGGAAAGGGAGGAGCTTGAGGCGGCGGTCCCACATGAGCTGGACCGTGTCGTGCTCGTTGAGCACGTTATTGGCATGGTGTCGAGCCCGTTGAAAGAGGATGAGCGAGAACGAGCAGAGGTACGTCGTGTCAGACTTGTTCTCCTTGACGACCTTCCGGCAGACGACCTGGACGCCGTGGCGCACGGAGTCGGGCGTGATGATGGCCGGCACGACCTCCTCGCTGTTGCGGCGTCCTTGCACGGCGCCGCAGAGGTATTCAAAGTGCGGTTAGTCGGCGAACGGCTCGACGAGGTCCTGGTTGACCTTGTTGAGCTTGTTGAACGACAGCGGGACGCCATACCTGCGGTCGCCCTGCAGCGTCGGCTGCGCCGACGCGCCCTTGCCCGTCGACGAGCCCGACGCGCGGTCGGAGCGGCCCTGCTGCTCGTCGAGCCGACCCTTCTTGCGCTGGCCCCGCGCCGCCGCCGGGTCCTCCCTCGCCGCCCTCGCGCTCCTCGCGGTCGCTCCCGACGCTCGATCCCGAGGGCGCACGGCGACGCTCGCGAGTGCTCGGCTTGTTGGCGGCCACGGCGTCGGTCGTCGTCGCGAAGCGCTGGCCCTGGTTCTGGATGCCGGGCTGCGCGGTGCGCTCGTGCGACTGGCCCTCGCCCTCCTCGCGCGAGGAAGTCCTGTCGGGCCGACTCGAGTGCGGCCGCGCACGGGTCGGCGTTACCCGAGATGCGCTTGCGGTCGACCGCCTGGGCCGCGAGGAGGATGGCCGACGGGGAGCTGCCGGGGAGGGGGGGGCTCGAGCCGTCCGGGCGGATGTCGAGCGACTGTTCCTTGGCGCACTGGTCGAGGACGCCTTTGACGAGGTGCACGCTACCGATGGCGCCGACGGGCGCAATTTTGAGGCCGCCGAATGTGACGGCCGACTTGCGGCCGACGATCAATGAGGAGCGCCTCGACCAGCTCGACCTCCTGGACGCGCTTGTACGGCGTGCCGCGGTCGAGGTCGCCGGCCGTGACGCCGAACGACAGGTAGACGTCGACGACCTTGTCGTGCTGCTCGTGGCGGAACGTGCGCAGCTCCTTGAGCACGAACTGGACGAACGTGGTTGGCCTCGCCGTCGGCCCGACAAAGTGGTCGAGGGGGCGCGACGAGCGCTCCTTGTCCGGGTCTGGGTGGTCCCACCCGTCCGAGCGCCCGACGTACTCGAGGAGGCGTTTGAGGCGACCGTCCCAGCCCGCCCTGCTCGCGGAACCGCCCGAGGCCGCGCAGGCCCGCGAGCCGGGCGGGCGGTGCGAGGTGGGATTTGACAGGCGTCTGAGCCGGCATTCGCGACGAGTTCTCGACGGCGTCATTTGTTCGTGCTTGTCGGCATCGTGGGCGCGAGGAAGACAGGGACAGGGAGAGAGACGAGGCGCGAGCGTCGAGAGCGAGTTCGAGAGCGAGCCGCGCGCGCACACAGGCGAGTCGCGGCGCCTCGACGACCTGCCTCTCACCGCCCCGCGGAGCTCGCCACCGCATCGTCCGCGGTGGTGAACGAGCTTGGCTACCTTGCCGGTGTCCCGCACCTACGGGCCGCACGTCCCCGCCTCTCCGCGCTTCCTCATCGAGTCGCCGCTGTTCGATCGACCAGCCCGCCGTGTCGAGGCTTGCCCGTCAGCGCGGAAACAGCACACGCTCTTGACAGCTTTGCCTCAGCTTTGTGCAGCGAGTCTCGCAGCAGCCCGAGCCAGCCCCCTGCAGCTGGTCGACCCCTCGCCGTCTCCTGAAACCTGAAAGGCGGAGTCTCCTGTCGCCGAGACCGACGGGGTCTCCTGTCCGTCGCGTCACTCTGCGAGGGACAGGAGGGGCGACTCCTATGCCGGCGTGTCCGCGGACGGACGCAGCACCCCAGTCAGGCGGCCAGCTTTTCCTCTGGCGTCTTTCTCTTCCTTCCTCCACACCCTCCTGCACGACATGGCCTCCGCAGCGTCACAGACCTGGACCGCCAGGCAGAGCTGGCAGGTGGTCAAGGAGTTCTTCAACGACGTGTTTGCGGATGAGCGCCAGGGCCAGCGCCAGCAGTCAAATCCCTTCCGCAAGCGCGACGAGGCAGTCGTCAAAGACCGTTTCGACTTCGTTATCGGCGGTTCGTCTCTCGCGCCCCCCTCTCTCTGCAGCGAAACCGCTCATCCCTTGTTGACACCCAGGGTTCGCGGCGCTCGCATTGAGTGACGGCCATGACAGCGTGAGAGACGCCCTCAAGAATGCCTCCCTGCCCGTCGCGCTCACCGTGCGTCTGCGAGCCTCCGGTTTGGAGAAGGCTGGCGCTGACTTCCCAGTCACATGCAGGGGCCCGCCCTCGTCTACGTTCCCGCGCTCTTCTGCGAGGGAGATTACAAGGCGAGGCTTGAGGCTGCAGCACTCAAGGCAAATCGTCTCGTCCAGCTCGTCACGGACCAGGTTGAGTACCGCCGCGCTCTGGCTGGCGCCCGCCAGGCCTCGGTCCGCAATCCCGACCGCGCTCGCAGTATCACCCAAGTCGATCAGCGCTTCGAGCACTGGGACGTGCTCGCCGTCGAGCAGCTCGTTGCAGGCGCCGCGTTCTCAGAGGACTCGGAGCACCGCCACGCGGCCATCATGATGGTCCGCCTTGCCATCTCTGCCGGCCGCGACGAGCTGGGCACCCCCCGCCACATGCAGCCACGGTGCCGCGACGTCGACGCGGCGGTCACCGAGGCGATCAAGGCGGCCCTTGAAAGGAGCCTTCACATCGGCCACGGCGACGCCGTCATCAGCAAGTGGCAGCGCCAGCTGACGCCCGCCTTTGCCGATGCGGCGGCTCACTGGGAGCTCCGTCACACGCGCGAGGAGCTCTCCCACGCGCGGCTCGCGCTCAGGTACCGGGACCTCTTTGACAACCTCAAGCACTGGTTGTCGGTGAGCCCCTTCCAGCTCTCGGCTTCCTGTCAATGCTGCGCTGACCTCTCGCCCTTTACCAGTCCTTCGTGCGTTTACAATTGTCGACGGTGCCCCAGACATGCGCTGACCTGTCCCGCTGCAGACCCTGTACCGCGCGCCGGACGAGCGCGACCTCCCTCACCCGCCCTTGCCTCAGGACGCGCACTCGCTCGCCAAGCGCTCCTTCCTGCCGGCGCAGCGTGGGACGTTCGAGAGGACGCGGGTCTTTGCGTAGAAGCGTCGTGTGTGCCTCCTCCCCTGCAGAATCTCTGGCTCCGTCTCCCCCAGCCAGCCCCGAGAGTCGCGACGGACGGTGGTGACCTTCGCAAGTCCTCGAGGTCCCTGCGCCCTCGCCTCGTCTCGTCGAAGCAGGCTGGCCTTTGTAAACGTGCGCTCCGGCTCCTTCGAGCTCACGCGAGTGTGCTCATCTCGAGGCCTGCCGGCCGCTGTCGAAAGAAGCGCGAGCGAAGCGAGAGGTCGACGAGGCCTGCCGGCGCAAGCAAGGTGCTGGCGGGTCCTCATGAGCGCGGCTGGGGCACTTTGGCGGACGACGCTCGACGGATGTACATAGTGCGAGTGCGACTCAAAAGGAATCGGGAGCGTCGCTCAGGCCTCGAACGAGCGGTTGCGTTCCGTCGCAAAAAGTTAATGATGTCTGTGAGATTCGAACTCACGCCCTTTCGGACTAGCGGGTCACGCTCTTGCGAGGTTCACCTTAAGCTAGCGCCTTAGACCGCTCGGCCAAAACACCTTTTCATGCTGGCTGGTGCACCAGCTTGCATATACATTTCGTAACAAAAAAAGTCAGCGCTGCTTCCACCTGTCCGCCCCGTTGCTCCTATGCCCGTTTTACCGGTTCGCTCACATGTACAGGCCCGGAAGTACACAGTCGACAGGTGTTCTTCGCGAGAGCGTCGCGCAGTCGCTCTTCATGCTGCGTTTGAAAGCTCGCACGCGCCTCGCTCTGACTATCGAGGGTATCGCACAGCAGGTTACAGCGCCCCTCTCTACCACCTCCAGCAGCAGCAGCAGCGAAACAGAGAAGGTACTCAGGAAGGGGAGGACGACGGTCGCAGGGGTTCGGGGGGAAGAAGAGCCTGACCCCTGCACACAGGGCGCAGTGTGGAGGGTCTAGACGACCTCGTAGCGATCGACGCCGAGGAGCGAGTCGAGCGAGTACTCGACCGAGGCGCCGTCGGCCGAGGGGTTCGACACGCCGAGGACCTGTCGCCGGTCAATCAAGCGCCCAGTCAGTCGGAGCACTCTCACGAAGGGGAAGAAGGGGCCAACGACGCACCTCGACGCCGCACATGCTCTTCTGGCTGACAAAGTCGATCGCGACGGGGAAGCACGCGTCGGCATCGTCGCCCTGGGCCTCAAACTCGAGGCTGCCGCTCTGGGTGCCCGCCGCCGCGCTCACCTCGTCGAGGGTCCACTCGAGGTGGCCCGAGTGCGGGTTGACGGCGTACGACCCGTGCGCGGGCGCCTCGGAGATGCTCGGGTCGGCGCCGGGCGGGAGCGGGATCGAGATGACGACGTTGTGCAGCGACAGGGCCGGGTTCTCGAGCTCGTACTCGAGGTTGACGGTGAGCGAGCCAGAGTCGGCTGACGGCCAGCAGTTGACTGCGCACCGAGCGAAAATGGTGCGTCAGTACAGGACCGGGTCGGGAGAGGTGCACAGGACGGGGGGACACACTCGACAAGGGCACGACGCTCTCGTCTGTCCCGGTCATCCGCCACTTGAGCACGCCGAGGCCCTGCCCGACAGGGAAGCCCTTCTTGCCCTCCTTGAGGCGGATCTCGCCCCTCTGCGCCCACGCCGTCTTGTCGACGTTGGGGTGCGTCTTGAACTGCAGGTCGTTGGCTTTCGGGTACGTGCCCGAGGCGGGGCTCGGCAGCCGCAGGACAACCGCCGTGTAGTCCGGAGCGTTGATGCGCAGGTCGAGGTCGCCCTTGAGCGAGAGGGACGAGATGCCGCCGTCGCGATTGAGCGCGAGCGAGAGCGCTTCCCGCACGACGAGGTGGACGCTGCGCGGGGGGATACGGGTTTCCGTGTCAGCACACGCGCAGTCGCCAGCTGACGAGGAAGGTACAAGCCGACGCACTCTCCCTGCTCGACGTCTCCGAAGGGGTTGGCGTCCTTTGCAGGCGTTGCCGGGGCGGGAGGCTGGTACTGCTGCTGCTGCTGCTGCTGGGGCGCCTCGTGCTGCGCCTGCTGGTGCTGCTGGTGTTGCAGCAACGGGAGGTCCGCGTCGTCGACGCTGAGCCCACCAAGCGCCGCCGCGAGGTCGTCGTCCTTCTTGCGGCCCTTTGCGCCGCCGAGCTGCATGCCCTTGCCCTTGAAGGGCTTGGCGGACGCAGCGGCCGGCGGTGCGTCGTACGCCGAGTTGGAGTACGAAGGACCGCCCGTCGGAGGGTTGTAGGACGAGGGGACGGCAGAGTAGCTGGTGGGCGCGGCGGGGTTGGCGTAGGGGTTCTGGCCGCGGCGGGTCATCTCGCGGCGCTGCGTCTCGAGCTGGCGTGCGCGGCGCTTGAGCTCCTCCTTTGCCTCGTGCTCCTTGTTCTGTGGTGCGCGTCCCGAGTCGATTTGTCAGCTTTCCTTCCGCAGTAGCAGCCAGAAGGCATTCGAGGGGGAGGAAGGCGGTGCGCACCCGTGCGATGATCTCCTGGATCTTTTCCTCATGCGACTCCATCTCGAGGATGCTGCGGACCTGCTGCAGGTTGACGTTCTCGCGCCACCCGAGGCTGATGACCTCGTCCCACGCCGAGAGGATCTCAAAGTTGACGCGCATGACATCGAGTTCGCCGATGGCTCCGCCGCGTCCTCCGCTGCCGAGTTCGGTGGCGATGCGGGTGATGAGCGAGAGGGTCGAGAGGTCGAGGAGGATGTTGGACTGGGTGTTGGTGATGAGGAGGACGTAGAGGTCCTCGAGCGGGGTGTAGACGAAGCGGACGCCCGAAGCTTCGACGACCGTGTGCTCGCTCGTCGGGCTGACGAGACGCGGGAAGGACGACAGGAGCGACTCGAGGCGTGGCCGGGGCAGGCCGACAAACTGCCGCGAGAGGAGCGCTGCGTGGGTGGGGAGGGACGGCGACGAGTTGTGTTGGGTCAGTGACCGAGTCCGGGCACCTGAAGCGCGTCAGCGAGCACGCGGTGGTACAATGCAGTGTCGCATGCACGCGTGCGTGGGGCCGGGCCTTGAGCATGCGCGCTGAGGAGTCGCGGCAGATGGAGAGAGCGAGGGAGCCGGCGCAACTCACGCTTGCCGCTCTTTGTGACGATGCTTGCGGCGAGGACGACCTGCAGAGGGATGGCGCGTGCCGCGGGGACATGCACACGTCCAGGCGAGGGCGAGGAGAGCGAGGGAGCGACGAGGGTAACGTGGAGTGGGAGCGGGGGAAGGGGGAGAGGGAGCGAACGGCAGGAGCGGGTCAAGGGCAGGGGGGAGGGGTCAGCGTGTGCATTGGGAGGGATGTATGCGCTCTGACTGACCATCTGTGCGCAGCTTGAGCGGGGCAGAGCAGCGAGGGAAGCGATCCGGTCCTCGAGGTCGACGCGCCCTTCCTTGCGACACGGTCACCCGGCCCTCAACTCGTCTGGCCAGTCTGGTACAGCCTTGCCATTGCACGCGACGCTCGCTCAAAAGCCGCCGGCGACGACCTCTCACGTCCTTTCGCTCTGTCTCGCTCCCCTCCTCCTCCTCGAGCAGTCGCCCGCGCGCTCAAAGTACGAGTGTCCACGAGCGAGAGATGCAGAGAGGCTACAACCGACAACAGCGACCACCTGCTACAGACAGCAGAGAGACAGATCCAGAAGAACTAAGGTCCTCGCCGCCCGTCCGGCGGCTTCGGCGCCGCGCCCTCACTCGTCCACGGCCCCCAGCGGCGCCGACGCACCGGTACCCCTCGCGCCTCGCCCCGCACCGGCGAGCCCGCCGTTGGCCCCGCTCGACCGCTGCAGCGACCCGCGCTGCGACTTGAGCTGCTGCTTCTTGGCCAGCTCGGCGTGCAGCCGGTGCATCGACGCAATCTGGGTCGACAGGAAGTCGCTCGTCCCCGGGCTGCGACCGGGTCACGACAGTCAGCGCTTGGTCCGAGAAGCGACTCAACTGGCGACGACGTACTGCATGCGCAGGATGCGCAGGATCATCTCGCCCGAGCTCGTCACTTTCTGTTGCTTCTCAATCTTGTGCGCCCGGATCGTGCCCAGGTTGCGCTGCTGGTACACCGACTTGGACCGCCCGAGGAGCGAGTTGGACCGCGTCGTGAGCTGGCGTTGCACTGGGAGCGTGTCACACCAGGTCAGCTTGGGTTGCCGGGAGGTGGAGGATCGGGCTCACAGCTCTCGACGCTCGCGCGCATGAGGTCGTCCGCGCTCCACTCGTAGTACATGCGCGCCTCGATGAGCTCTGTGGAGAGCGCATAGCCCGATCAGCCGCTGCTCACAAGGATCGAGAGGGGGAGCGGCGCCGCACCGAGGTACTTCGAGTTGCGCAGGTCCTCGAGCGGCACACCTTCTCCGCCGCCGTGAAAAAAGTTGACGAGGAACTGCAGCGTGCGCGTCTGCTCTCAGCCACGGACGCCTTGCAGGGATAGAGAAGAGGCAGACGCACCCCGAGCCACTTGTACACGACGTCGACCTCCTTCTCGCTGAGCGGGCGCATCTCGGTGGGCCGCTCGCTCAGGGGCGGTACGAGCAGGCCCTCGATCTGCGTCAGGATGTCCTTCCACAGGCGCATCGACACGAGCCGCCACGCTGCGGACGCGCATGGTCGGCACAGTCAGTTTCGAGGGGGAGCCCGGCGGGACGGACAGCGAGGGGGCGCACCATCGGGCGTGAGCGACTCCTTGAGCGTCGCAAACGTCACCTCAAAGTAGTCGAGCAAGTCGCCGATCGCGTCCTCGATCTCGAGGTCCGTCAGCGGGCCCTTGCCCTTCTTGCGCTGCTCGAGCCGCTCGAGCGTCACGGGCGTCGGCGCGTGCGGGTCCGCGACGGGCGGGATCAGGAGCCGCCCCGTGTCGCCGGCGCCGGTCGAGGTCGCGAGCGCGTCGCGCACGTAGGCGTTGAGGTTGCGGACGCCCTTGTCGAGGTTGCCGCGCACTTTGTCGAGGTCGGGGAGCGAGTAGGGTCCCATCTTGAGGAGCGAGCGCAGGTTCTGGTGCGAGACGTAGTGCCGCACAAAGGGCGTCATCTGCGCGAGCCGGTGGCGGTCAGTGGCGAGACGGCGAGGTGAAGAGAGAGCGAGTGGGACGGCACCTTGTCGACCATGTGGCGGACCATGTCGCCTTCTGCGCGCTTCAAGCTGCGGAACGCACGGCCAAAGTAGAACCCAATGTCGTCCTTCTCGCCCTCCATCGAGATGCGCAGCAAGAGCCTCCCGTCGAGCGGCTGGCGCTGCTGGTCCTCGAGACGGAACCACACGTCCTGAGCGAGGAAGTCGCTGAACTTGCGCGGGTCGAGGTGGATGTAGGCGCACCCGACGTGGTCGTGGTGGTCGACCAGGTTGCGGTTGTACACGGTCGCGCGCAGCCACAGGTCGCCCTTGACCGACACGTCGAGCGTCTCGTCCCACCGCGGGTCGTTCGTCTCGTACAGCGTGCGCGTCTTGGCGACGCGGTACCCGGCCGGGTCCGACAGGATCAGGAACGGGTCGAGCTTCTTGCGCGTGTTGCCCGACGGAGGCGACAGGTTCTCACACAGGACGATCTTGACGGTAAAGAGGTAGCGTGGCGGGGCCTGGGTCGCGTCAG